AGCCAAGGGGCCATGATATGTATTAGTAAAGTGACGGGAAATATATCACCAGGGAGCAAAGGAGATGACCACCAAGGGGTGCAACAAATTGCCAGGAAGGGGAGTGTTGAAAGAAAAAGAAAGGAAAGAGGATATAGGCTTGCATCTGTGAGAGGGAGCTTGACAAAGAGTGAAAGGACTCAAAAGATCCTTGTCTTACCCACGGAATGAAGATGGAGGAGTGTCCACAGGAGAAAAGGAGATACAAGGTCCAGGGCAGCTGAAAGGGAAAGGCCCTCCACCTAAAACCGCCCTTGTTAGTGGGGCCATTGCCAGCCCTGCACTGAAGACATCATTGTAGGTTGTTGCAGATGGGGGAGAGCAGTGTTTTCAGGGAGAGGACAGATCACCATGGTTATAAACAGATACTGTTATCTAACTGGAGCAGGTGGGATAGATTGCCATTTATACAGTGTTGAAAATCCCATCATCTTTCGCCCAAGACTTAGTGTATCTACACTTTTGCAGTCAAATCTGATAAACCCTATTATGTTTGTGTTTAATACAGAGCATGCCTAGAATTAATTTTTTTAAACGTTTCTTACCTTTCTAGTTGCTTCTTTGGAGCAGGTTTATACACAGGACAACAAGCAAGAACATTTTCAGAGGAGCAAAATCAGGAAAACTGAATTTCCCCTCATTAACAATTTTCAATTAAGAAATGGACTGGGGGTGGGCTGTGAAGGACCATCTAGTGGATTAGGGAAACCTTTGGAGCAGGGAGGTGGTAGACACCGTTCCGGGCTATCCAATATGGGAGAAAAACTAACCTAGTCCTGGCAAATCCGATGGGGAAGAAAGGATTGTATTTTTGTACAGTTTGGTGTCCTTGTTTAGCAAGGAAATAATTCAGTAGCTTGCAGGCTGTCAGATCCTTACCTTTTTTGTGAAAACAGTAACGCATGTAACAAGAACTCGGGCTTCGTCAGTTCTTTTTTCCGTGTGGCCTGATTAGGGTAGTTAGGTGGACCATTCAATTTGCATACAGATTGGTTGAAAATGTTTCTTTTTTGTGAAGAAACAAATTAAGGAAACTGGATATAACTTTATGAAACTAAAGAGGCATATTTTTTTCATTAAATGTTTTGGCAAGAAATATATCCCCAGTTTGTTGTAGGCAATTCCCATGTTGTGTTTGAGATAAGAGCAAAGTTATTGTTCACATTAAATATTTGGCATGTTGGGAGATCAGTGACACCTACGTAGTTTTTCAAGCTGATGGATTTGTTAATGATAGTTTTTTAGGCTTGTAACTGTACTCCTGCCTTCTGATAGTGCTATGTTCTAGTGGGTACCTCAAATGACTGCCTTGTCAGAGATTCCCACAAGACTGCTGGAAATATTCATCACTTTTACTCTTGTTTAAAATGTTTTTATTACATTTTCATATACCAGATAAATCATACAACCGCATAGACATGTATTTTAGCGGTATCCATTCCATATAATCATAGCATGAAGTTAGTTCCCAATGAGCTGAGTCTTATTGGAGGTTTTATACCATTAGTTAGCTTGTTATGAATGCTAACATTTCTAGTTTTGACTCTTTGCTTGATGAGCTGAGAATGAAATAAACCTTTTTTAAGTGTATAATTTGATAAAGGAAAAAGGTAGAAACTAATGTTTTGCCTAGTCAACGGGTGGTTGTCTAATAAAATAGTCACCAGAAAGTAGCACGTAGTGGTAGGAAAAGACATGGGGG